ACCTAAATAAGAATTATAACAAGTTTGAAGATGAGACAGGTCGATGAAAAAAAGAAAAAAAGGCAGTCCATACCAGGTTAGAGCACAGTGGAGTAACGCAAAACTGAATTGTCCGCACTGGTGAGAAAACATGTATATCAACAACCGTATGTGTTACATTAATTATGGGCCCTGGCAGCTGAGGTCCTTAGAATGTCACCTGCTTTACCACAGAAGAGACACTGGAGGAATGCATGAGTGAGTAACTGACAATACTCAACATTTTAGGATTTCTACCTCAGAAGCCTGCTTCTACTACATAATAACAAAACCTGGCTACCACTTATTAAGTACTTCTTCTGTGCAAGGCACAATGGAAGCTCTCAGCAAGCATTCTCTGAATCCCCACAGCACGCTCACAGGATAGGTACTGTTTTCATCTCCACATTACAATTGAAGAGACTTGCCTCCCTTCAAATGGGAATTAGGGGACGATTGCTTCAGACAGACACAGGCCTGGGCAAAAAGGAGCAAGCGCCTCCTACGTGGTCCAATTCAGGGGATTATAGTAAAACATTTCATAATGATCAGGGGCCAAAAGTGTGGCTGATAAAGAAAATATGATTCTCAGGCTTTATCTACAGCATGTTTATCTCCTGTGGCAATATGTGCCAGTGGTAGTCAGCTGGCAGTGATACCAAGATTTAGGATCCTGGCCAGCTCTGTGCCTTTCCATCAAAATATGACCAATATCTGGCAGAGTTAGCAAATGTCAAGATGAATGGGTCTTCTCTAATTCATATGTTACAAACTGGATTGTGAAAGTTAGTCAAATTCCATTAGAGAATTACAGTTCAGATGCTCTGAACACAAAATACGTATGACCCATTAGCCAAGGCTCTTAAAATTTCCTTGCTCTATGGAAATTTCTATTGTAGTAGTAGTTCTGGCATAAGATTTGATCTTTTGTTTTGTTTTGTTTTTGTTTTGGGGGAAAGGATTTTGCTACACATTTCTGACTGGCCTTGAACTCACTATATAGTCTAGGCTGGGCTCAGACTCCAGTGATCCTCCTGCCTCAACCTCTCAAGTGCTGAGATTACAGGCATGTACCACCACACCCTGGCAGAAATTTGATCTTTATCACACTTCTTGGCAACAGTAAAATTCCATTTCCATCAATTCTGTTTCCTCTCAGGAAAGAAGTATCTCAGGAAATACTCAAACATTGTTCTCATCAAAGTTCTCAAACATGAATCATCTTCAACAGCCAGGAAAACACTCCTTTCCCCCCACTGTTTTACATCATAATGTACTTTCCTCAAAATGACAGCTTTTGGGCAAGATATATTGGGGGGCAAATATCATAACCACAGAGAAAAATCATTCAATTTTCTTACCCTAAAGTTTTTTTCAAGCAACTCATTCTGCCTCAAGGACCTTCTCCCCAGAGCTCCATATGTTCCACCAATGCATTCTTTCAACAAGTATTTCTTGAGCATCTATCAGAAGTTTAGATATAATGTAATGAGTGGTAGATATACAAATTCTAAAAATGTATCAGGGCTCTGTCAGGCAAAGATTACGAGTAGTCACTGTAGGTGGTGGGATCATCATAGACATTCTGAGACTTTTCTTCAAGGAAATGTTTCCCAAAAGAAAAAGCATTTAAAGCTGGCTGTTTAAGGACATGCAGGAGAAATTAAATGGAAGGAAAAAAGGCACTATGGCAACAAAGAAAAGGCAACTTAAGGTCGCCAACTCCAAGGAGCACAACTGACCAGGATCGTATCTGCCTCAGAAATTCATCCTCAGGTTTTATGAAATCATACCTTCAGTGTAGTGCTCCCAGCCAATGACTGAGCACAGCACAGGTGCCTCAGGCCATCCCAGTGTGATCATAAAGTCTGATGTATCAACTTTACTGAATTAAGAAACGCATAGCACATTACTAAAGCACACTACAGGCTCAGTCTGGGTGGCTCACATAGGTGTGATGTTGGCTAGCATATATGGCACCTCACCTACTTTTCCCTGCTCTGCATCCCAGTTGTCACAAACTAATCAGTTGTGCTCTACCACACCCTCCTACAAAGATGTTTCTGCTTTGGAGCCTGCTAAGCATATAATGAACCTCCTGAAACATAACTAAAACCTTTCTTCCTTTAAATTATGGGTACCGGCTATTATGTCCAGAAAGGGGAAAGCTGACTAATTAAAAAAAAAAAAAAAAATTGATGCTAGAGAAAGAGGGCTATTGCTGTTACAGTACTTGACCATGTGGTTTAAAGGATTTTGGAACTAGTTTACAGATGTTTGGAAAGGTTTGGAGATACTAGCTAGAGAAACCTTAGAATGCTGGAAGCACAGCTTAATGTGTGAATCTAGTCAGAGCTCAGAAAACCAGGATACTACTAAGAATGGAAATACTAAAGAAGTTTCAGTTGCGAACAAGGACACCATTGGTAGGTAGACGAGAGGCCATGTGCATTAAGCTGTAACAGAAAATGTGTCCACATTTTGCCCATGTACTGAGACTTTGAAGGATACTGAGATTAAGGGCAGGCTATGGACTAATTAATCTTGTGGAGGAAATTTAAATCTAGCCCAATATTCAGGCTGTGGTATAGGTACTGGTGGCTGCTTTTAGCCCTATTTATGAGAACTGAGAGCAAGAAGCAGAACACAAAAACTGAAAAACTTAAACTACAGGTAAAAGAAATCATGTTAGGGTCAAAAGTCGAGGCCAAAAGAGGTGTGGCTGCTAAAAAGATCAGCAACATTAAAAAGAAATCAAGTACTTTGTATAGGTACAAGAAGAAAGACTACTTGAAGGCATTTCAGAACTCACAAGATCTAACCATTGCAGTTACATTTGGAAGTCCCTGAGGTCACTGCTTGAGGCCTCCTAGAGAATTGGTTCCCAGGAATTCATTTCACAGTGCTCAGACATGCAGGCACTCAGAGACTGCTACAGCCATGGTTCAAGAGGGCCAGGCTACAGCCTGAGCTGAAAGTTGATCTTAGTGTTGTCCATGTGATGCTAGTTTTACCAGCATGCCGAGTCAAAGTTATGGGGTCAGGGAGGCTCCCAATTTGAATTTCAAACAAAGGTCTGAGAAGGCAGGCAAAAAGTCCCTGGAAAGGTAGTGGGTAAACTGTGGGAATGAAATCAAAGGTGCAGTGGAGACCTCAGGAAATTGCAGATGCTGGGAATGTGGGACATCTGCTGAGCAAAGCTGTACTCCAAGGGTAGAGCCCACCCAAGAGAGAGGTGCAACCAGAAAGACATAGGGGTACACTTGTCTAATCACTCCGGATCTCACATTTTACTACCATGTGTCCAGTTACCAGACATGGAGCTACAAACAAGACTTATGTCTGCCCTGCTGAATTTTGGTCTTCATTAGGTCCAGTCCTTGTCTACCCCTCTATTGCTCCCTTTTGAAATAGAAGTGTTTACTCTGTACCAATGTACCTTGGGATTATATAACTTGCTTTTCTTTTCTTTCTTTACTGTTTTTGTTTTTTTCAGAGTTGCTACATAAGAATCAATTCTCGGAAAGCTATGGATTTACAAAGCTGGAGCCTAGCCCTCCTAAGGTCAGAGGGCTCTGAAGTGTCATTTAATGTTAGCCTAATTACTTACTTTCTCAGAATCAGGTTTTTTTTTCCTCATCCTTCCTCTCAGACAAAGGAAACTCACTGAAGCTCTTAGGCTTTACTTGTGACAACCAAAATTACCTCACTGGGAAAAAAAAAAGATACCTCCAGACAGTCTGAAATGGTTTTTGTCTTTTAGGGAAGAGGTCTCACAAGCCATAAACCATCAAATCTACATGACTAAGGAACTAAAATTGGAGCTGTAGTCTTCTAGGCTGAGATAATCCCTTGTAAGCTAAAAGGAAAACCCAAAGCACTTATGAGTACTTTTACATCTTCCAAACTGATTTAGTAAATATATTGCTGTTCTTTTGACTTGGAAAGGGGAAGGGTGAAAAGTAGAAGAAATACTGTAATAGCTATTTTTAGTTTGCTCTGGGCTATTTTGGCAAAAGAACTAAACAACTACTGAAGTCATTTTAAGGTTTACTTGGCAGTTTTCAAAACCAAATTACTTTCAGTTATAAAATAAATTTAATGGTATCAATGATATAGCAATGATCACTTTTATATTGAGCACATTGCATGTGAAAGGCATTTTACATATTATCTGTATTCTTCATACAAATACCATGTTAATATTTTACATTAAAACTTTCAAACTGTGGCCCAGAGATACAAATGGGCCAAGAGTAACCAAAATATTCAAAGCCCAGATTTACAGATGGCAAATAAAAAGCATGACAGTATTTCTCTTACCAAATCTGTCTCATACACGTAAAATGCCCATATACTCACATACTCATACTCACTCCCAGATAGTGGACAGATAGTCAGTTTTACCCTGCAAAATCACTTAAATGCTAACTCTGTAATTCAGTAGCTGTAAGACTTAAATGGTACAGGTTACTTGATAGTCAAAAAAAAAAAAAAAAAAAAAAAAAAAAAAAACAGGCAAGGTACACATCTGTAATTCCAGTACTTGGGAGGCTGAGGCAAGAGGATCATTGTCAGTTCAAGACCAGCCTGAGCTACGAAGGACAACCTGAACATACTGAGAACTTGTCTCAAAAAGGCAAAAAAAAAAATACTTGATAGAGCTTATTTTCTCATTGATAAATAAATGTACCACTGTCTAGTGTTCATCATATTGCTACCTTTTCTCTTATTATTTTATTATTTGAGTACTGGAGATTGAACCCAGGTCATCTGCACTAAGCTATCTTCCCAACCCTCAAACCTCTTTTGTGACGGGGTCTCACTAAGCCACTGAATTGCCCAAGCTAAGTTTAAACTTGCAATCTTCCTGTCTCAGCCTATCAGAATGCTGAGACTGGATGCATGTACCAGAATGTCTGACTCCCTCCTTCTGATAGCCTAAAGAACAAATGAAGGTAAGGCAAAAGCATGCTATCTGTATGGTACAATAAAGGTAAGATTATTGGCACTTTCCTTAATGATAACGAGTTTCTACGACCTATGAAATACACACGTGGTTAAGGAACTGGCACCTACTTCATGTCATCTATCCATAATTTTTGTCCACAAAATACAAGAATTTTACGTATTAGCTACATGGGATATGGTCTAGAAATGCAAGATTGATTCAATATCCATCAAACATAATGCCATCCAAAATATAAACAGCTTGAGGAATAAAATTTATATAACTATTATTATAGATGCACAAAAAGTGTGACATTCATTCACCTGCAATTCATGATTAAACACACAGCTTTTCAGTTAACTGCAAATAGAAGGGAACTTCCTAAGTCCGATAAACGGCATCTATGTAAAGCCTACAGCTAACCTTTAGTGGTTAAAGATGAAGTGATTCCCCTCCTAAAATGAGAAATAGGCAAGGAATCTACTCTTAACACAAGGAATCCACTCTTTCCACTCCTATCTTGACACCATACTGGACTTCATCCTTGCTAGAACATAAGATACAAAGAAGAAATAAATATAGATATGGATTACAGAGAAGATAAACAACTGTTCTTATTCATAGAAAACATAATTAGCAGTTGAGAAAATCCAAAACAATACACAAAAATTGATTAGTGACCTTAGCAAAGTTTGAGAATAAAAGATTAATAATAAAAACGAATTGTACTTTTATATATGTCAGTTATCAACTGAGGAAGGAATATTTTTAATATTATTTGCAACAGTATCCAAAAACAAGCAATACTCAGCAGTCAATCTAATAAAGAGTATAGTAAGATGTATATAAAAAGTATGAAAAGCACTAATGGGACAAATCAAAGGTGTAATTAGAAAAATAAACTGTGGTCATGGAGTAAAACACTATCAATACAGTGATCCCTCCCACGATTTTTGTGCTGTGTCACTTACTCATGGTCAACTAGTATCGTCACAACTCCATCTATCCTCCTTCTGAGTATGGTCAGTTCAACAGTAACCTAATGCTATGTCACAATACTTTTTTCATTTACCTCATTTTATCTTATTACATATGCATTGCACCATCTCACATTACCAGAAGAAAGTGAGTACAGTATAAGACAGTATCTTGAGAGAAAGATCACATTCACATAACTTATTATAATTTACTATTTTAATTACTGTTACTAATACAGTACTATGCCTAGTTTAAAAAGTAAATTTATCATAGATATAAAGGAAAAGCATAGTATACATAGAATTTAATAGTAACTGTTGTTTCTTCTTAGAATGTGTCCCTTGTGAATAAGAAATACTATTGTATTGTAATTCTCTCTCAAATTGATATATGGGTTTTAATCCACAACCAAATAAAATCCAAAGTCTTTAAAAGAAATTGATGAGGTTCTAAAAGTTGTATAAAAACAGTCTAAGATAACCCAAACAATTCTGAAAAATAAAAAAGTAAAACTAGAGTACTCAAATCGACTGATTTCAAAATAGGCCATAAGCAATAATATTCAAAACAGTATAGGTTAGCAAAAGGCTAGACACATGCATCAGTGGAACAGACCAGAGTACAGAAGCTGATCCTTGCATACACTTCCAATTAATTTTTGACCAAAATGTCAAGCTCATTCAATAAATAAAGGACAAAGGGTAGTCTTAACAAATAATGCTGAAACAGCTGGAAATATCAATGTTCCAAAATAAAAAAAAAACCCACCTGAACCCATTATCTCACACAGTAACCAAGTTGAAATGCACACTTGTAGACTAAACTGTAAATCCTAATACCACAAAACTTCTAGAGGAAAAAAGTAAATCTTCATGATCTTGGATCAGGCAGTATATTTTTGGACAGGCCAGAAAACTCATGAACTTGTAAGCAGAGGCAGGAAGATCTGAAGCCCAAGACCAGCTCAAGTAACTCAGTGAGATTCTGTCTCAAAATAAAGTTTTTAAAAGGACTACAGATGTGGTTCAGTAGCAAGCAAGTAGCCCTAGGCTCAATCTCCAGTACCTAAAATTAAAGAAAAAAGAGAAAAGGAAAAAAACTGGGGAAAAAACCCCTAAAACTTAAAACTTTTGCTCTTTGAAAATTAAAAAGACAAACCACAAACTGGGAAAAACATTTACAAAACACATATACTGTATCTGACAAAGGACTAGTACAGATAGGTAAGTATCCCTCAAAACCATAATTTAAAAAATCTGCCCAATGGCTGGGATATAGCTCAGCAGCATAAGCGCCTGGCAAGTGCGATGTCCTGAGTTCAATCCCTAGTACCAAAATAAAAATGAAAATAAATAAAATCTTCCCAATCAAAAAATGTTAACAGATACTTGCTAAAATGATGTTATTAGAAAAACTGCACAATAAAATCATAATGAGGTATCACTACATATCTGCAAGAATTTAACAGAGGATAAATAACAAATGGAACCCTATACATTGCTATTAGGAATAAAAAAATGCTAGTGTCTTTGAAAACCAGTTTACAATTTTTTACAAAGTTAAACACATACCTGTCATAAAACCCAGCTATTCCACTCCTGTATTACTTCCCTAAAAGAAAACATTTATCTACCACAAAACCTAAACACAATTGTTTATAGCAATTTTATGCATACTTCCCCAAGCCAAAAATAACCCAAATGTCCATCAACTGGTAAAGGGAAAACAAATTGTAGCACCTCTACATAGTGAACTCCAATCAGCAATGAAAGGGAACAAACTGGATAAATACAATGAACTAGGTGATTCTCAGAAGCATTACATCAAGTAAAGTAAACCGAACTTCCAAAAGGCTACATATTTTGATCCCATTAATATGAAATTCTAGAAATGATAAAATCATAAGGGCAATATTCAAAGTAATAGTTGCTAGGGGTTGGCAATATAGGAAGGGGATTAAGTATAAATTTTGATTTCAGTTGTACTTAAGACACTATAATTTTATGAAAATTCATAAGACTTGACAGAGCTCAAAAGCATAGGTTTAAGTAAACCATATATTAATAATCTTGAAAAAAATGTGTGTCATCTCAGAAATGGCCAAGTAATTCACACAGAAATCATAAATAGTAAAAACTAAAAATGCTGATTTCCAATCCTAAATTTTAAATCTGTTGATTAAAGGACAGGAAGACATGGAGGGCAGGCAAAGTTGATGAAAATTTTGTAAGCATGTCTACCACTGTTAATTGATATAACTGTGTAAAAGGGAACTCTAGAAATAAGGTGATAAATGTGTAATTTGGAATGCAAATATGCCCATTTAATTGAAACAGACTAACTGAAGACAATAGCCACTAACTGTCCTTACCAATTTTTTTAGTTTATAGATGGCTCATTTTAAGATTTGCGTAATGATAGAGGACACTGTTGAAGTACTAATTATTGGGCAGATTTCCTCGTTTTACAAGTGTTCTTATTTAGAAGAGCAGGGAATAAACATTTTCACTGTGTATAATTTCTTCCTCTTAATCAGAGTTCTAAAGTGACATACTAGAACTTGGTGGTAAAGGCTACAAGAAGGGGGAAAGTGAAGAGTTGTGTGAAGCCTCCGAAGGGCCTTTCTCTCTGGAAGGCTATGCAATCACAGCTGCATAGCTATCCAACAATAGAGTGTCTAACAATGGGACAAGCCAGGACAAACCTACGGTTCTAAGGTGTGCAGTATGCTATAGTCAAAAAATGACAGGAATCCCTTAACTACAAACATAAACTAAAAATTAGACTACAGAGGACTTTTCTTCATTTATTCACTCAATTATTCATACAACAAATACTGACTGACTGACCACTATGGGCCAGGCTCTATATTAAGCTGAAGACAGAGATAAACCTGATCTGGAGTAGCTTACAATCTGCTGGTAGGCACTGGTGGAGGGAGTAAGAGGTACAGGGGCAGCCAAAAAGCCAGAGTACACCTTAACAGAAGACAAAGTCCACAACTGTGGTTTATTCTTTGTACATCATTCTCCATCAAGATCTCAGTGCTCCAGAGTTCAGGAAGAAGACAATAGTGGCAGTCACTCCAGGCAGCAATACACGTGTAGGTAAACATGGTATAGCCAGTACACTGTTTAATGTTGTAGTGCACTGAAAATCTAATGGAAAATAGTGTGTAATAAGACACACAGCTAGGTATGAGTCACAGTGGTTGAAGGCTTTGTAACTTGTATGAGGAATCACATACCAGCCTATGGAGTATACAATGAGCAGGCTGTGGGCAGAGGAGTAACCAACTAAGCTTTGCAAGTAGAAACCTGATTGCAAGAGCAATATCAGGACAGGTAAAAGAAGAACGCAAAGGAGGAAGGTCCTCAATTTTGGGGGTGACTGAAAGTCTGGTGGTGGACAAAAAGTTGGTATTAACTAGAGTTGCAGAACAAGTCCCTCCTTCAATCATCCAGAGAAAACTACCAATTCTCCTGTCCACTGCCTGTTTCTAGCTATCATGAATACTTACTTCTCTTTCTCATTAGATTAGTAGGTCTTTAGAAAAAGGAATGGGGTCTATTTCCCCTGTCCTCCTTCCCCTCTCCTCTCTGTCTCTCTGTCTCTGTCTGTCTGTGTCTGTCTGTCTCTCTCTCTCTCTCTCTCTCTCTCTCTCTCTCTCTCTCTCTCTCTCTCTTACTCACTCATATTCCCAGTGTCTGATTACAGACACATGTTGAGTAACTGTAGACAAGAGGAATGAGGGAATAACTGAATGAAGATTTGGGACCAAGAAACCAATTGAGAGCTACTAAAAAATGTGATTTTTAAGGTACCAATCAGACGGAAAGTTGAAACGGATGCCTTTGAAGGTCTCTTCCAACACGCAGCTTTCATGATTCTAGCCCTTCCTCCCATTTTCTGAAAAGTAAGTGGCTGAAAAGGGGATATGTAAGATTGATTCTGTAGGGCAAAAAATTGGTCCAATAAAAAATGCCCAAGGCTGTTTATATCATGGCATAACAAACTAAAGTAGCTAAACTCCACCAGTTGATACCAAATAAAGGGAAACACTGATTGTTTGAACCTTGGAAAGGTGGCAAATCAGACAGTATAATCTACAGACAGCTACATACTGTATTGGGATGATGGGGCATCAGATGCTTAAAGGTAGACCCAGAAGTAAAG